GCATAGCGGCAGGTATACATTGTGCTCGATAGTTGCTGGTGGACATGCAATTGTGCAAGAAATGTTTGTTTTTTCGGTTAGATGAAAAGTGTAGGCTGTAGGCGATAAAACATATACCCCCTACCACCAGTTTGAGTCGTTTTTTAGTCGAAAATTTGATTTGCGCATGCGTCGGGTCAAACTTTCCCGACATTTTGTTTCTGCTAGCTGCCTAGAAAAGTTCTTTGTGTTGTTTTCGCGACTGTCAGTAAACATTGAGCAAACTGAGATAGTTGTGGGATATCAGCCACTTACTTGTGCTATTATTTGAAGGTGTTCTGTGTGTTCTATTAGTGTTTTAGTATACTTTAACGGCTAAAATTGACGGACCTGGTGTACCTAGGCCTAGCCTAGACACATACGTAATGTAGGCTTCTCTTTGGGCGACACCGTCGGACTAGCTGGTGTAGGCCTAGAGACATCTGATATACTGTACTACACCATTACGTAAAGTAGGTTTCTTGGCCTACCACCAGCCTGCCGTCAAGCAATAAAAATCAACATTTGTGGAATTATTTTCCGAGAAATGATGGTTAAAAATTCTGGACACATAAATATGCAGCATGTGATGGACGGACGGACTTAAGGGTTGGCGGGGGCAGCATGTGATGGACGGACGAACCTAAGGTTTGGCAGGGGGACGGGAGTTCATCAAATGATGTTTGGGAAAATAATGGAAAATCAGAAAATGCAGCATCTGATGGACAGTCCGGGTAGGGGAGAACCTTAAAATTATGGACACATAAATTTACAGCATAGCTTCATCAAATGATGTTTGGGAAAATAATGGTTAGAAAATACAGCATCTGATGGATAGTCCCGGGTGGGGGAGAACCTTAAAATTATGGACACATAAATTTACAGCATGTGATGGACTGACCATCTATACATTATACAGCATGTGATGGAGGCATGTGATAGACGGACGAACGTATGCTTTCTTCAATTAATTTCCAGTAAAATAATTATTAAAACTTCAAGAAAACTCGTGTTTTTATTGCATAAATTAACTTCACAATCTTTTATTTTGAAATATAGCGGTATCAATATTCTTTCTATAACGGTACAAGCCACCGGGAACCAGACGTCGAACAGAAAGTTTCAAAGCCCACGTGTGTTTTGTTGCGACATCATAAATGAAGCTGCTCACGTGACCTCTAGGACCACACTCCCGAAAAGAAGTTTATTTATTGTTTTGAGCGAAGCGGTTTCGAATTAAACTTGTTTCAAAATTGTTTGAGTGAAAGTAACTATGAAAATAATTATTTAAACAACCCAAACCATTGCTTGATTGTCGTAGAAAATGTAGTAGGACAGAACAGCACTGTATAGTGAGTATAATTACAAATACTAGCCCTTCAAAGCCTATGCTAATTGATTGTGCTAGTTCGTAGGAGCATGGGCCCAAACTAGACAGACGGCGCCTGATTTTTGCTGCGGGTCGCGATCTGAACTTTTTGGGAGTAGGTTAACGACCGGTGTATAGGCCGCACCCCAAACTTCGAGGGGAAAATCGCGTATAAAATGTGTGGCTTATTCACCGGAAAATACGGTTTATGGAGCAAAAACTTGTGTTTCTTCATGATTTTAAGGGAGGCGGGAGAATTTGTATGAGGCTGGGCGGAAGGCCTTAATAATAGCTTTAGGATGGGCGCAAGACGTCAAGAGTGGGCGGCGCCGCCCACCTCCGCCCTGCAAAACGACATCCCTGCACTTCTCAGAACCCCTTACCCCCACCCCCCTTTCATAAATTTCTGGATCCGCCTCTGATTTTTTTTGACTGAAAATGAAAATACTGTATTACCTTACACAATCATTATTCAAAAAGATACAATAAGTTATTGCAATTCCCAAATTTACATTGATTTTTTACGTACAAAGGAACGTACGTACGTTTTGATCTTTTTTTTTCTTATGACGATGGCATTTTAAATTTTGTATTTTAATGACAAATATACTGTTTTTGAATGTGATAACTGTACATAAATATTTATAATTTTAATTTTGATTAATATGAATCTTTAATATTTTAAATTTTGATTTTATTTTAATTTTGGTATGTTTAAAAACATGGTGTCGAATAGGTCCGGGAATTTAGAGGGTCTCGAATTGAAATGTGCAATGTAGTTTCTTTAATATTATTATAGGCCTATATTAAAGATAATATATTATAAATTATTTTTATCATTTACTATTTTTCATTTTCAGAATCTGAATAGCAGCAAAATGAATATCGTGGACGATTTTGAGAATCAGTTGAAGGCGATGGCCGTTGCAACAGACGTCACAGCAAAAGCAGATATTAATGGCTTAATATGTGAGGTCACAAATATATAATGATAATATATGTAAAATTATACCTAACCGTCATTGAAAAAAAAGAAACAACTTTTCAACAATTTGAACTCGGGGCTGCTGCTGACAATTTGATCTGAAGAATGTTGCACCATGTGTGTGTGACACGAAACTAAATAGTAATAATTAAATGTACCATTTAATCCAACCTACTGTTTAACCTGGTATTTTTATTTTAATCCACACTGTTTTAAATTTATTTTTGTAAAATTTTCATTATTATTACTAATTCTCTCAGCGGCAGGATTCCAGAAAGCGAACTGTGATGATGATTTGTTATTACATATGCAGATAAGCGACAACGACCATCCACTTTCATTCAATCCAGCATTTCTTGACTGTAGAAATGGTAAGCAAAGTAATAGCTATACCTTGCTATTAACTGCTGGTGCCAAGACAATATTCTAAATTGTTAAAATGCAAGCAAAACATTATTTTTGTGAATATTTTTATTTCTAAGAATGGTTAAAGTTCTGTTTGTAATAAGCTGTTTTTAAACATACTAATTATTTTATTTTTTTTCTTCTAAATTATTATTACCCTCGACTCTTCGAACGAGAGGTGAAGAGTATTGCAATAACGCGCGTCTGTGTGTGTGTGTCCTTTATTCCAGGTGCATAAGTATTGGACCTTACTTGAAATTTTCACACATTAGCAATGTTACATGTATCTCGCTTCTCGAATTTGGTGCTGATCTGAAGCAAGATGCAGATTTTAAAATGTTAATATGATGATAGAAATGAGTATAAAAGGTAGAGGTACGTCCGATTATTTGCACATTTTCAGTTAATAATAATAATAATAATAATATAGAAATTTATATAGCGCCTTTTGCCAAAGGAAACAAGGCGCTTAGAAAAGGTTTATTGTAGGAAGAGGATTATTTAGGAAATAAGTGAGATTTTAAGAGTTTTTTGAAGACTTCAGTACTACAAGCATTTCGGATAGAAATAGGAAGATTATTCCACAGTTTTGGAGCAGAGGAAGAGAAAGATTTATCACCAGCAAGTTTGTTGGATTTGGGAACAGATAGACAGGAACCGAAAACAGAACGGAGAGAATAGGTAGAGGTTAAGAAAATCAACATGCAAGAGATATAACTAGGATTGGAGGACTGCAGTGTATTAAATGTCAGAACTAATACAGTATGCGGAACAGGATTCTCTGTGACACTGGAAGCCAGTGGAGATGATTAAGAAGAGGAGTGATGTGACAATATTTGGGTCTGCAACGTACAAGGCGAGCACACTTATTTTGAAGTTTCTGAATACGACTTAAATTATATTTACTGATACCATAGAGTAGTGAATTACAGTAGTCAAGTCTGGAGAGTAATAGGGCACGAACAACATCATGACGGGTTTGTTTCAAAATCAAGAAATTTGCGGATGCGGGACAAACAACGAATCTGCCAATTTATGGACCGAGAAAGGTGTGTTATATGAGCAGTCACATTCATATGGGATTTTTTAAACAGACTTTTGATAGCAAGTTAGAATCTAAACACACAATCCACAGAAGATACAAAATATTTTCAGTGTTGCTCCCGCAAAAAGTATACTAAGATGAACTATAAAACATGCAAAAAACCAGACAAACTTTAAATGGGAAGGAGTAAAGTATATGGAATTAAATTATTATTCTGAAAGAATTCAGAAAAGGTTTCAATAATAGCTTTCTTTTGACTAACAATACAGTACATGGCCTTTTTTGTGGGGTGGGGGGTGTAGCCATATAGATTAAAAGCCAATTTAGAGATTTTCAGGAATAATCTAAAAGTAAAAACGTATGAACAGGAAAACAGAAATAACCCTTTTCCCTGTAACTTATTTTTGTTTGGTTTTTTTGGCAGTAATATGATTTTTTAAACAGACTTTCAATTTTATCAACAAATTTGCAAATCGTAGCATTTTAAACCGGAAACACTAATCCGGAGATATTACAACACATGATTTATACAATCCCATTTCTCCTTAAATTTTGATAAATTTTGTTTTTTTTTTTAAATAAGATTTTCTATTTTGTGGAAATATCTTATATTAATAAGTTCGCCTCTATTTGGTAGAGAATATAGAATTTTGTAATGAGTAATATAAGGTTAACATATTATTGCTAACACACTTTAAACCAAATAACATGGACCATTTATCTAGATGAAGCAATGTTTTTACATATAGCCAAATATTTCTAACATACGTACAGTCCCATAAGAGATGCAAAATGTTTTCTGTATTACTTTTACAAAAAGTGCTCAAAGGTGAAATATCTTCAAACTTTGAAACCATTTCATTTGTTCCCAGAATTCTATGAATAATTTTATATTGAAAATATTGTAATTTTGAATCAGTGGTACATTCAAAATGTATTTTATAAGCAAGAACCCAGTCGAAATTAACAGGGAATGTGGTATGTGAATTCCATTTTAATTCAGAAATTGGTTTCGAAGAATGCTTATTTTTTAATTTTCTATAAAGAAGGCGGTTAGGTTTTTTTGCAGGAAAGAAGCGATTGATATCTTCAGCTGTATTATCATATTTTGGAATTGCTGATATTATTTTGTAATACAACAAAAAACAAAACGTGGTATCATATTTAGTCTTGAAGTTATTATAATTTAAAACGGTACCGCCTTGGTCTAAAATATCATTTACATTTACTTTATGCAAAAGAGTTGAAAGAGGTAATAAAACATGATTACTCGACTTAATCAGACTATTACACCATATAATTTGAAGCTTTGGATTAATAAATTTTTCACCATTTGTAAAAATATATTTACTCCATGCCACCAAAACATAAATTCGTTTTTTATCATGTCCAAAAAAAATTCAGTATGTTTAAAATTACATTTCCAAAGTTAAATTCCACCTAACGGTTTAATGGAGTAGTGCCAAAAAAGGGTCCAGTTACTTTGTTTATTCAAAAACAGTCTTTGGATCCATTTAGTTTTCATGCTATGACAGAATTGAATCATTTTTAGCCCGCCTCATTACGGTCCGAAGTGAGCGTGGATCTAGGCCCTATTTATTTTGTCTGGTTTATTATGCCATATGAACCTAAAAAATATACTGTTTAGCTCTGCAAAAAAAAGACTTCGGTGGATCTGGTAAAACGGAAAAAAGGAAAGTTAATTTTGATAATGCTAATGATTTAACAATTGTTATTTTTCCGATAGGCGAGAGATCCCTTGGTAACCAACTGTTTAATAGAGTTTTCCTTTTTTTTTTAATTGAGGGTCAAAATTTAATGTAAACAAATCATTTTTTTTCTCTATCTGTTCTAAACGAAATTCCAAGAAGACGCACAGGCCCATTTGTTGTAGTGAATTGATGTGCTTTATCCGTTAATGTATTTTTATTTCTCAAACTTTCAATAGGAACAATGTTGGACTTTTGGTAATTGATGTTAAGTCCTGAAAATAGTGCCTATTTTTCTAATATTAAAAATGCTTCATCAAAAGATTTTTGGCTACCATCAAGTATAAGCGTAGTGTTGTCCGCATACTGGCTTATCTTAACTTCAAATTCATTTATCTTAATTCCTTTAATGATATTATTTTTTCTACGCAGAGAATAAAGAGATACGGAGACAGAGGACAACCTTGGCGAACACCTCTACTTAGGTTAAAGAAAGGAGTACTATGTCCATTGTTTGTTACAGTGCTTAAGGTTTAACCCATTTTATAAATTATGGTCCAAAATTGAAGAATTTCAGTGCTTTCCAAATAAATTCCCATTCAAGTCTATCAAAAGCTATTTTAAAATCTATCAACAAAAGATGTCCAGGAATATTATTTTGATCTGTAAAATTGATTAGATCAAGCACTAACCTAATATTTTCCCCAATAAATCTATCTTTCAAAAAACCCGTTTGGTCATAATGTATAAGTTTTGGGAGAACTGTTTTCAATCTATTTGTCAAACATTTTGATAAAAGTTTATAGTCTATATTAAGTAAAGAGATTGGCCTCCAATTGCTTAAATTGGAATTAAGGTAATTAAACCCCTTCTCTGAGAATCGGAAAAGCAGCCTTCAGTAAAGCCATAGTTCAAAGAATCCACAAGTACTTGCCCGACATCATCCAAAAAACGAAAATAGAGTTCCGATGGTAACCTATCGCTTCCAGGGCTTTTACCATTTTCCATCTGACTTAAGCAATTAAAACATTCTTCAACTGATATTTGACCTTCACAATTGTCAACTTCCTCTTCAGGCACCTTTGCCTCAAAATTAAAAGGGAAAAACTCATTATTATCGGGGGATTTGAAGACACGTACATCTCTTTATAAAACTTATGGATTTCGTCAAGAATTTGATTTGGTTTTGTGATAATTCCATTTTTTTTTGTAGTTATAGACGTTACCATCTTTTTATTGAAATTCCTTTTCTCCAAATCATAAAAAGTATTTAGTAGGTTTTTTTTCCCGTCTTCGATCCAATTTACTTTTGAGCGAAACATTGATCATCGTTTTGACTTACTTTATTCATGATGATTAAATATCGTACACAAAATACACGCATATTACTGTATATGCTATTATGACAGAAAAGATTGTTTACTTTTTGCTAGAATACGTCGTAGTAGTGGATCACGTGTACAACGTCGTCTTTCTCGATGTTTTTCGCTCGATCGGGGCCGTTCGGCACAAATTTGTTTTGACTTAATATTATAGTGATGATAAGGGGTTTAATTACAGTATCTTACAAAAAAAAGAATATACACGCATATTGTATGCTATATTATGACGGACGAGGTTGATTACTTCTTGCTTCAAAGCATACTTCGTTCGTAGGGCGGATCACTTGTTCTTCCGCAATCCTACAACGTGGTCTTTCAGATGTTCTTCGCCGACGCTCGATCGGGACTGGCTCGACCCGATCGGTGTTTGAACGTTTTGTGACAACGTTGATAAATGAGTTTGAATGAAATTAAAATTTCATTTGTTTTGTTTCGATGATTTATCTAACAATAAAATACAGGCTTAAGCCTAGATGCTGTTTTGATTTTTTTGTCATAAATGAATGCTAGTTTTAAGGAGGGAATTGCTGCATGTTTTTGACGTAGGCCTCATACACAGTCGTACAACGTACCGTCAAAACACTAATTTCAATATGAATGAACAATCCTGTCTAGGCATTATGCCCGCGAAAATTCGAAGCTTTGGTATAGGCTTTCCGCCATTGTTAATGAATCTGCGTTGTACTGTTGTTGTAACTTTTGCCTTAAATTGGCCAATTTCCTTCAGGTATTTCATATTCCCCTTCTACATACTCATAAAGTAATATGTTGTCAACATTTACTGAGAGTTATTGTTTGATTTAATGTAAATTTAAAGGCACACAAGGATCTAAAACACACGGTTGTAATTTCTCTTCCAGCTGCTAAGAAGCAGGAACGTACCATTATTAAGCAGGTCTGGGATATCTGGATTCAGGCTGGCTAGGAAAAGTGCGTCGTAAAATATGAATGAACATTATAGCCTAAATTGTAAAATTGTTAAACTAGTACAGTAATACTGTTAACAATAAAATTTGATTGTTTTGTTGCAGAAATGTGGCCTAAAAATTCATATGTATTTTGAACCGTCATTTTTTTTATAAACAAAAAATTAAATAATTTATTACCACTCATTTGTTAATATTATATGTAATACTTCAATAATCAGCAGCTTAAGAAGCATCATTTTAATTGGACTTTAAGGGTATTGCAATAGCGCGCGTCTGTGTGTGTGCGGTTTGTGTCTGTGAAGTGTGTGTCCTTCCGGGCGCATAAATACTGGACCAATTTACTTCAAATTTTCACACATTGATCTGTATCACATGTATCTCGGTTCTCCTCGAATTTGGTTCTGAACAGAATTAAGATGCAGATTTTAAAATGTTTATATGCTAGGCCTAATTTGGCTGAGTCGAGCTGGCTCGAGCGGACCGACCGCGGGCCAGTTAGTACGGGGTGTGTAAAATTTTGGTTGGTGAAATGGAAGCGGTCTGGTCAGTATAAATATGGCACAACAGGACGAGGGTTTGTAATCGCAGATTATCTTGTTATTGTTGTGTTTCCTGCTTTGTTTTCAGAGTCAATTAAGATTACGTACACAATTTTCAGCAAACTGCTTTTCGATGGCCTACCTCAAAAAGCTGTCTTAGGGTAAGTTACCAAAACAAACGATTTACTACTTTACATTACATTATTAGATAATATCTCAATCCATCTATTAACATCTTATTATACCAAGGGTTTCTTTCTTAAGAATCATACTGTAATACTGCACTATATCGATATACACACAAAACAATTTTGTTCAATGTGGTTGAAAACTAGTTAAAGTTTGACCATCAACCTCTATGTCAAAGCATTCCATTTCTTTAATTCTGAGCAATTTTCTTAATAATGAAATAGTATAATACTGTATATTGTATGTGATATGTACGTTAACAAATATATTGGTCGATTATTTAAATCGTAAATTTTAATAATCTGTTTCTCTTTCTGTGAAAGGTCAAAGGACGTTGATGTAACTCTATGGTCAAAGGTTGTTTCATTTTCAATAATTACTGAATCCAATTTTCCAGGAGATGCCCACATCAGATTTTCAATACCGCACGAAAAGGTAGATCTCACTATTGCAAGGAAAAATAAAATCCCTTTAAATTAATAATAAATATATATCTCCTTGATAATATGCAAATATAACTATCCTTAGATTTTTAATAACTTGAGTATTTTAGAAAATGTTGCCTGTTTCCAAATATAGCTAATGATATTTTTGCTATTTACTATTTGTATATTCATTTCAAAAGATGTTATTCAAATTAACTACGGTATACTGTATATTCAAATCATATTCAAGTTTAATTTCTTCTTATAATCTCTCCTCATAATATTATATATATATATATATATAATATATATATATATATATATATATATGCTACGGTATATGTTGGTAAATAGATAATTATTCATTTATAATATATATTATGTTCCGATTATTATTATTTTATATTCGTTTTTAGTACCATGCATATTTCAAACATACATTTGCTATTAGGAAATAGGAGATGCGTTAAAAAAAACTTATGGTGTCAGTTTGCATTCCGTTTTATAAACATTATTTGTCACAATGCATGTTGAACAGGCCTACTCTCGTTTTAACATGTATTGAAGTTAATGACTTATTTGATAAGCCCTAACTAAACGTTATCTCTTATAGTATATTTAAAAACCTCAATTTTGAGTAACATTTTATTCTGTTATAACATTATTTTAATTCAATATTTTTCTACAACTTAGTCTCATGGGAGTAATTGTATATCGCTAATATTACAATATTTTGCAAGGTGTTCTATTAAAAAGGAATTTCTACATGGGAGTAACGTACACTGTCTTGCTGAATAACGTGACAAAATAGCGAGACTTGGTGAAACGCGCGATGTCAAAACACTCGAATAACGTCCATTGAGAGGTTTTCTACACATTGTTGGCATATGTTCGATTATTAATTGTTATTGATCAATTTGTTTTGTAGGTTACCAAACATGAGGTCTTTTGCATGTTCTGGGATATGCCTGCAATGTAAGTAGGACTACAAAATGGCGGAAATAACATGTTTGGTCTATACGTAAATTTTGATCTGAACGGTTATTTTAGGCCCTACTTTTTCATATACAGACTAAGGTTGTAGGCCTAATGTGTTGACTATTACACGCTACTTTAGGTTTCGACATTAAATATTAGCCGATTTTCAAAGGCCTATGCAAACAAATAATTATAACAACATTTTTCGTCGTATTCTGGCAAAAAAAAACATTGTCTGGTTCTAATTTTCAAATTAAATCTGAAATCATTTCTTTGGCTGAATACAGACGATATCTTAAACGCATTACATCACTAATGTGATTATTAATAATAATAATTATTATTATTATAAATAATAATAATAATAGGCCTAATGATCATCTTAATTGCTTTTATCTGTAAGGCTTTGGTCAGACAAGGGATGTCGGGTTACAAATGCTTCTCAAACGGAAACCAGTTGTGTATGTAACCATACAACGAGCTACAGTATTCTAGTACAAGTTGCAGACGATGAGGTTTGGAAAACAGACAAAACCTGACATCATCGTCATCGTCCATCATCCTGATTAATCACCATAATCAATATCCTTGTCATCACCACCGGCATCCTCGTTATCACCACCAATATCATCAAAATCTAATTCAGCATCATCAACATCATCATAAGTGTCACCACCGCCACCACTACCACCACCACCACCACCACCACAATCATCATCATCATCATCATTATCATTATTATCATCATCATCATCACCACCACCACCACCATCATTATAACCATCATAAACATAACAACAATACAAGATAGAAATACAAGATCATTATTATATATGCCTTTTAATATTACTAAATCATTATTATTGTTATTATTTTAATTATTATATGTATTATCACTATATTTCATTATATATAACCAGTTCTTATATGATAATTATGACATGCATTGGAGATGAAAGAGCAATGAAATGTGCTATAATGACTTATTTGCCGTTGATCACGTGAGAGCTGCTTTTAACAATCACGTTGGTCTTTTCTTTGCATACAATTAAAAGAGTATATCTGTTATATACTCTTTGATACAATGCTCAAAGTATTTATTACCATTTCTAATAGATATAGTTGATATTTGAGATATATTTCCAGGTTTCCAGGTCCAATGACGTCACTTTAACAGTCCTTTCACAAGTACTTCTTATCATTTCCACTGCGGCTCTTATATTAGGAGTTTTCATTCTATTTTGTTTAAGGTATGAATGTCCTGTATTGGATGTAAACATCAATGTGACACTGTGACATTTACGTGCGAAGTTTTCACTACAAATCTCACCAGAATTATTGTTTTCAATCTTTTGAACATGATCAGTAATTTAAAATTATTTGACAATGGTAACAATTTACCGTAAGAATGACAAACCATCGACGTGTTTGTTTTTTTTTTTTTCTGTCGTGTGATTGAAGTTTTTTCGAAGATCACCTGTTGATTTTAGTTGCAAAAAATATATAAATCTGATATAAAATTACATCATACTACACATTTACATTTGTTCAATTAGTCGTTTATGCGGTAAAATTATTGATATTGCCGATAACGCACAAATATCTATACATTTCAATGTTACGCGCACGATTCAATGACGTAAATTAATTTTTGGTAAATTCCTACTTCCTTTCAGACGACTTAAGGAGTGTGTCCGTACAAGTATTCATAAACATTTGATGACCACATTGGCTATGTCACACATGTTGTTTCTGACAGGCATCGACAAAACATCAAGCAAAGTAAGATCCAATGTTTATGAGTAGAAATCTCTGAGTGTACACAATATTGTTCGGGTTCAAATCTAGAACATTCTGCTGTTCATACAGATGTCTTAACCAAGTGGGCCACACCAAGAGGATTTGTTGGAAATTCAGATCCGATTGAAGCGACTGATGATAACAACAAAACAGAGATACTTCATTTATAAATAAATGTAGAGATCAACTTGCGGTAATACTGTGATGATCATAATACTGTAGACCACATTTTGCCAACTTAATCCATAGTGTTATATACATTTATTAAGGTAACTCAAAAAATGATTTTTTATTAACAATGTATATTTTCTTCCTTAATGCAGGTAACGTGCACTGTCATCGCTGCTACTCTCCTTTACCTGCTACTCACCGTGTTCATGTGGATGTTAGCTGAAGCGGTTTTTCTCTACTACAAAATATTCGATATCCACGGCACCAGTGTCCGTTACAGAAAGTTATCGGGATACATTATCTGTTGCTATGGTGCACCGATGTTAGTAGTTGGAGTCGCCCTTGCTTGCAATGTTGATGGATTTGGTACTGATAAGGCGTGAGTTTATAAAAATCTATTAATAACAATAAAATTGACAGCGACAATGGAAAAGATGTAGGTCTAATTATTTATGAGGATACATCGACGTGAATTGTTTTTGAATACAAAGCGAAAATTCTTCTTCAATTGCCTCGCGAATAAAAATTAATTATAATTAACACCGTGCTGAAATAGCATTATTTCTTGGTATTTTGTGCTAGTAATAATAATGACAACAGCAACAACGGCATCAGTAGCAACAACAGCAACAAAAAAAAAAAAATCAACAACAACAACTAGACTTACTATGTCTGTTTCTACAACAGAACATAGGGCTTTTCCGTATTGCTATAATGAAAAATGAAGTTGAATTTTCAACAAAAAATGTCTTTAACAAGTATAAAGTAAAAAAAAAACCACGGAAACCCAAAATACCGCGACGTTAATGAGACTCGAAATATTGCTGCAACGGTAATAATGAGGTGCATCGGGACTAATAACCGCCTCCTTTGAGCCGCCTTTGTATAGGCCAGTGTATTTTTTGTTCATAGCGATTCAGTGAGTGAAAGTAAAAATTGTTCATGCATATCACGGTAATTTTGATTTTAAACTAGCCGTAGTTGGTTTAAACGCTTTAGAAAACGCAAATTGCGTTTATATAATTTAATCAACTGTCCAAAAAAATCAAATGGTCCTCATATCCAGACCCTACTCCGGATTGTCACCAAAATTTGATAATTTCTTCATTGGTCTATGACAAACTATTCTACTAAGTTTCATTTTGATCGATTTATTACTGGGACGTAAGCACAATGACCCACAAATTCCCACCCGAGTTTAGATCGTCATCAACACTCAATAATTTTTTTCTTGTAACTTGGTTATACTTTCCCGAAAAAATTAATTCAGATCAGCACAAAAACAATTGCTTTTCCAGCTACTGCTGGGAAAAGCCATTAATAATGATATGATGAGGATGATGATGATGATGATTATGATAATGAGGATGATGATGAGGATGATGATGATGATGATGATGATATTATGTTGACAATGAGGATGATGATGATGATGATGTCATGTTGATGATGAGGATGGTAATGATGATGATAAGAACAATGCCATTATTATCAATGATGATGATGATAATAATGTTGATAATAATTATTTATTTTGTTTGACATCAAGGTGTTGGCTAAGCTTATCTAACGGCCACATCTGGGCGTTCGCAGGACCGACTTTAATAATATGTTTGGTAAGCAGTCTTAAAAAAGAATATAGTACGTCTGTATGAAGAATAATTCAACCATTTTTACCTAAAAACAAAATGAATTCATTTCGTTGTTGTTGTTGTTCTGTACAGTGGAAATAGAGTACCATCCCAGATCCCCATATAATGCTTCTTCAGCAGTGTATCTGGGTGCTTTCAGAATTGCCCTTGACATTTGGTATTGTAGATTTTCAATTTTATAAATTGAAGATTTTCCTCCACTTAGGCAAACGGAGCATCCATAACTTATGGTGGTAAGCCAATCACTCTCCACAACAAATCGCCAAAATAAACCCTGTTAAAATCATCTTGGTTTATAGATTATAGATTTTATGTAAGCAATTATTCTGCTACCCCTTTTAATGACTTCTTCAATGACATCGGTGTTTACGTTAGAGATATAAACCCAAATTCTAAGGTATTTGTAGCAATCAGTTTCTGTGATATAATCATTTCCATTTTTTAAAAATATTTGTTCGTTCGTAGTCCCGTAATAAGGACATTTGATTTATTATAATTAAAATCAAGTTTCCATTTACTTGAGAAACTACTTACTGTTTGGAGAAGACTTAAGTCTTTCTCGTCTTCACCGACCAACACGACATCATCAGCCCCAAAATATAGCTCCAATTTTAACATTAAAAATGTTTACACCAAGGTCTTTGTTACAAATATTTTTTTGGAGTTCATTTATAAAAATTGAAAATAAGATTTGGGACATTGAACATTCTTCAACGTTTCAATGTACCCAAACACAACTTTGCCTTTTACATTGGTATACAAATTCTTATAATTTCTAATAAATTCCTTCTAATGCCTATCCTACTAACAGCTGTAAAAAGGCCCTCTCACCAAACTGTCAAAGGCTTTCTTAAAGTCTAAAAACTAAAAAAGCAAGAAACGATCCCTTCCGATTGTCGTTCGCTTATAATATCTTGAAGTGTGAAATTGTGGTCTTCACATCTTTTATCTGACCTAAACCCACCTTGTACTTCGCTTGAAAGATTAAATTCTTCAATAAAGTTTAACACTGTTTGGGAGATGATGCGGATACCTTCAGCAACACAGAAATTAGATGTTGAGATTTTTA